GCGAAGCCTTTGTCGCTCGAGCGACCAGACACAGAAAAACTACGCTCGAGCCAACGAAACCTTGCTCGAGCCAACAACCCAAAAGCTCGCTCGAGCGAAAGAAAACTCGATCGAGCGAAGAACTCAAATCCTCAGATCTGTAATCAGACTCACGCTCGAGCGAAGGAACCATCGCTCGAGCGAAGAACAAACTAACTCGCTCTAGCGAAGAAAATCTCGCTCGAGCCAAGAATGCAGAGCTACAGGTCAATACTGGACGCCATCTCTCGCTCGAGCGACCAACTCCTCGCTCGAGCGAAGAACCAAAATCCTGGACAGCAACACTTGGTTTCTAAACCCAACCAACCTGAAACAAACCTGCCCAACACATCCTATAATTCCAAATGAGAAAATAAAGGACAACAACAACAATTATACAATGACAGAATCTACGGAACCTGAGTCCGGATACAATAATCAAATGAGAAAATACCGGGGTCGCTATATGCATTGCTATTATTATTATTATTATTATTGGATGTTTCTTTAGAATTGATGGTTCATTGTAGACTATGCACTTCCAAGCTTGATAACAGTAAAGGGACTTTACATCTTTGGAGTTTCACATGCTATTTTGATTATTAGACCACTGTGTTTTAATGCTGGAAAAATGATACTTTTGCATATTCATTTATAAATTATTTGCATTACCTTGGTGTTTAGGACATCCTTTTAATCATCTAAGCCAATCTGGATATATATTACATTATTTTCTTAAAAAACAGAAACCAAATATAAAAAATAAAATAAAAATTAACCTACTATTTTTGGGAACTCTCTTTTATACAACAGTTGGGAACTCAAGCTACACACACTATTTATGATGCAAATTTGTTTTACTCAAATTGTGTGCCCTGTTATCTAAGATTAAGGGCGGCTTGGCCCAACAGTAAAACTTGCCATTAGTGTTCCTAGTGGCGAGAGTTCGAGTCAAGGAAACAATCTCTTCATAAACAAGGTTAAGGTCGCTTACATCTTGCCTTTTTTAGACCCCGCTTCAGGAGGAGTCTCGTGCACTAGGTTACTCCTTTGTTTTTTACTGTCTAAAATTATTATTTTTTAGCAATAATCATATTTTTCCATGGCTTGTTCATGCATGATTTTGGTTGTTATAGAATATTGGTATATCTCACATGCTCAAGTCATGCAGGTTTTGGACGGATTGGAAGGTTGGTTTTACGGATTGCAACCTTTAGAGATGACATTGAAGTTGTGGCTGTCAATGATCCTTTTATTGATGCTAACTACATGGTAAGGATGTGTACTTTGCTGCTATTCTCTGTCAACATCTGGTTATGGTTTATGTGTGGAAACTATGATTTGGGTTGTAAGCTGAACTGAGCAGTTCTTGGACAAGGCAAGCTCAGGTTGATCAGAGCTTATTTAGCTCATTTGATGTCCCAAACATGAATTTAGATCTTTAAGGAGAAATATTGATAACACTATATTGAAGAAAATTGAATACCATGTATACAACACTCAACACTCAGTGACCGTGAACAAATTACCACATTTCTGCTTGAATGATTGTAACATATGGTATATCTCTTCTCAGGCTTACATGTTTAAGTATGATTCTACACATGGAGTCTTTAAGGGGACCCTCAAGGTCTTGGATGGGTCGACTTTGGAGATCAATGGGAAGCAGATTAAAGTTTCAAGCAAAAGGTATTTCCGTCTGGCCCTCAAACATTCATACAAAATATATGAAATTGCTGTAATGAGTGTTTACCAGCTTGTCATATCAAATGGCAACCTAAAATTACGATCTTTCTGTTTTATGAGCAACACTAAGATCCAGAGTTATCTATGTTCAGGGACCCTGCAGAGATTCCTTGGGGTGATTATGGGGCTGAGTATGTGGTTGAATCTTCTGGGGCTTTCACAACAATTGACAAAGCTTCAACACACAAGAAGGTCAGTCTTTGCAACTTGTTGATTCTGATGTAATGAGTTATTGTGATCTCTCTTCCTATATAGAAACACATACATATATATACATGTACACGTCCTATGAAATGTTTCTTTAATGTGCAGGGTGGTGCCAAGAAGGTGGTAATATCCGCACCATCAGCTGATGCACCTATGTTTGTGGTTGGAGTTAATGAGACTTCATACAAGCCAAGCATGGATGTTGTCTCTAATGCAAGCTGCACAACCAATTGTCTGGCTCCTATTGCCAAGGTTTGGTTGCATTAGAAATTAAAGTATTATTGAACTTTTTGGTTTCTTAAATGTATAGACTACTACTGGGTAATGGTGATTGGTAATTCCTGAAATTTTATTTTTATTTTTGAAACTTCTATTTAGCTCTTTAAAAATTGTGTTTTGCTATTTGAAGTTAGTTGCTTAAGAAACTATCCCTTTTCTTATGTTATTTCCATGGTATACATTATGTAGGTGGTTCATGAGGAGTTTGGCATTGTAGAGGGTCTGATGACAACAGTACACGCAACCACAGGTCTCTCTCTCTCTCTCACACACACACACACAGGCATTCTCAACTCATTTTTGTTTTAGTTAGTGAGTTTGTGTTTATGTTTCTCAATGTTCAGCAACACAAAAGACCGTGGATGGCCCTTCAAGGAAGGATTGGAGGGGTGGCCGTGGAGCTGGACAAAATATCATCCCTAGTTCAACTGGAGCTGCAAAGGTACGAGGATTCAGCATAGTCATGCGGAAGGAAGACCTTGCATGGTGTATAATGATTTTGCTTTTTGCTTTTTGTAGGCTGTTGGAAAAGTTCTTCCAGAGCTTAATGGGAAGCTCACAGGAATGGCCTTCCGTGTCCCAACTGCTAATGTTTCTGTTGTGGACTTAACTTGTCGACTTGAGAAGAGTGCTTCTTATGAAGATGTCAAAGCTGCCATAAAGTATGTTTGCCTTTTTCTGCTTTCTTGTCCGGCCCCCCTCTTCTCTCTCTCTCTCTCATGGTTGGTTATGGGTTTCCTAGTCCTGAATTAACTTAGTGTTGGCAGTAACTAAAGTTATCTTTATAAGAAAAAAAAACTAAATTACCCTTAACATTTAAATTTTAGGTATGCCTCAGAGGGGCCGCTGAACGGCATTCTTGGATACACCGATGAGGATGTTGTCTCCAATGACTTTGTTGGTGACTCAAGGTCACAATAATTCTCTCTCTCTCTCTCTGTCTTATATTTGTAATGTAACAGTTTTATTATAATTTGTACATTCCCACACAATATCTCCCTTTTGGTTGTTATCACCTGGTTAATGTAGTTGGTTTCCGGGTCTTTCGTATTTTATTTATTGGAAATGAGTTTCTCCTTATATGTTTCATTCATAGGCCTTACATGTGAATGACACTACTTGTACCTTATTTATTCAATTTACATTTTATGGGGTTGTTTCCATCTCAGGTCAAGTATATTCGACGCAAAGGCCGGGATGGGTCTGAGTGCCTCTTTCATGAAGCTTGTTTCGTGGTATGACAATGAGTGGGGTTACAGGTGCACCGTCTCTCTCTCTCTCTCTCTCTCTCTCTCTCTCTCTCTCCACACACACACTGCTGTGAGGTTGATGTTTGACAAATTCTTCTTTTGGGCTTATCTTCTTGTAGCAACCGAGTGTTGGACCTGATAGATCACATGGCATTGGTGGCTGCAAATAACTAAGCGTCCTGGGAGGCTGTTGTTGCTGTCGATGTTGTTGTTTGAGTTTTTAGAGCATAAAACATGAGATTGGAGAAAGGAGTAGTTTTATAAATTTGATAGTAGTGTCATTTTTGTTGTTTGAATGGTCGTCTGTTGTCATCATGTGAGCCTATTAAAGTAGCACACCGCCATGAATGGGACTAGCAAAATATATGAACTCGATTCTAAGAATAATAATACATGTACGCTGCAAGGAAACTGTCAGCAGCTTCATATTACCAAATGTTTCTCTTTGAAGCAGAAATTTTTGTAAGCAAATATGGAAGCCTCCATTTCCTTTTTGTTTTTTTGTTTTTGTTTTGGTTTTTTGGCATATGGGGTTGGGGGGCAGATTAGTTTTTCAGTGTGGTTAGGCCTGATTTAACACCCTGTTCTGTTCTCTATGGTAGTTGAACAATAAAATCCACTTTAGATTTGAAGCTTACAAAGCTATACTATACCTTGAATAATCATATTTCACCTCCCGTCCCCTGCCCTCCCCTAAAAATACCGACCTTGGTGTTTTACCAGGAAAATTTTCATCTATAAGAGGGGGGGAAAAAAAATCAAAAACAAAAACAAAAATAAAAACTTGCTTTCAAAAACATGTCAGATTTAGTTCATCAAAAACCTTGAGATCATTTCACCTCAGTTACTGAACTTGACATGTCATTCTGGCCCCCTACAGTCCATTTGCACATGCTACTGTGATAAATTTTATTTTATTTTATTTAAAAAAAAAAAAATTCCAAAAAAAAATGCCATTCAAATAAATTTAACTTTTTAACAGATTGAATTGAAGCATTGTTTAATGGTAGAGCCGAGAAGGTGATATGGAACTCAATTTATTACCACAAAAGTCGTAAAATTTTATTTGTTTGAATAACTCTACTTTAAGACCATCTCCAACGGTAAACCAAACCCAGCATCAAATTCAAATTTTGATGAAACACCTACTTTTTCAAGCTCCAACCGTTGCACCAGATTGATATCAAAATGAAATTTCAGCAAAAAAAGTATCAAACTGAGAACGAGACACAAATTTTACCAAATCACTGTTACTAACCGTTGAAAGAGGTACACCGGTCAACCAGTCGGTTGCCCGGCCGCTTGACCAACCGGTCAACCAGTAAAATATTCAAACAGTTCAGGAAAAAAAGTTCAAACCGTTAAAAAAAAAAAAAAAAAAAAAAAAAACTGGACATATCTAACCGGTCAACCGGCCGGTCGACCACCCGGTTAGATTTGGTGAAAGGTGAACCGTTGGAGCGAGTGGTATCAATTTAGTGAAATGGGTCATTTTTGACTCAAATTTAGTGAAAAATTTGAGTTACCGTTGGAGATGCTCTAACAGGTCCAATTAATCACAGTAAGCAAAGGGGAATACCAAGCATTGAGTATGAAATGACTTTTGTATGATGAATGAACAAATTGGCTAAAAGCTTCAGCAACACTTGCAGAACCAAGCACTGTTATACATGCTTAGCACCAGAAGGGAACTCATGGTCCCTGAAAACTGCCTGTGAAGAAAAATTTTAAGCATATTAAAAGGATGAGGTAAAATACAGTAGCCCTGAGTTCGTCTATCATTCAACCAATTGACAACTTGAAATATGTTCAACCAATGTACATTCTAGTAAGAATATCGAATCAATGAAAGCTAACAATGTGCCTGACATCTATTTCATCAGGAAATTCATCATATACCATACACATCAACAAACCCATCACTGAAAAGGTTTGAATATCAAACAGCCAGGAGAAGGAGAAACAACATTCAAATTCCAAGGTGCTCTCTCTTTGTATTTCATAACTTACCTTTTGAAGGTGAGAGAGGATTGAATCATATGGGGTAGAAGTAGAAACAACTCAATCATACTAAACACACCCATTCCATAGCATACAATACTCCTCCAGCAATCAATCCATCAACATTTCTGGCTCCAATCATTCAAATGACCTTGAATGATACCATTCTCATTCAGGTATTCAACAAATTCATCGATAAGATACGGCCAGGCACCTTCTGCATCATAGTTTGATAGTGTTGGTTCCACCGTCTGTAATAACAGTCATTTAAATGTTAGAGATGTCGCTGTGATAGCATCATCTACTTGCAAAGAATATCATGGTTACTAAGTAAACAGTGCTGCTTATTATAATTCCAGTTTAAAAACCATTTCAAGATGTTGACCATATTAAAACTTTCACAACACTCCATTTAAAAAAATAAACAATAAAAAAAGAGAAGAAAATAAGCAGCAGTAATACTCAATTTTTTACCAGAACCAAATTTGTTAGGGAATCCAAGTCATAATATAAATATCCTCTTTAGAAAGGCTGCAGTGAACTACTACAGTTACATGTTATAAAGCACTAAACTTTGATCAGAAACAAAATGAGAGCTGCGCGCATGTAGACAGACAGACACACAAACACACACAGCCAATGATGTATGTATGTAGAAGTGTGTCAGCATAGGACCAGTGGCTCAGGGAGGTAAATTATTTCATGGTTCTGGTGGATGCAATTAGAGAAGCAATTAAATGAATATGCATCTGTGCATCAGCTTTGAGCATGTAAGTTATTGGTTGATATCTCACCCTCGCAAATTCCAGTAGTTGAGACCAGGTGTCCCTAGAGATTGCTTTATTATGACGGGCCTGAATTGAGTTCCAACCAAACCAGAAAATTTGACATATATGTTAGATGAAAATCTGAAAAAAGTCAAATGAAGGCAGATTCTAGGGAGTTCAACCAGTAATTTAACCTAACTTCCGCAACTCAATATGAACAAATTCACAAACATAATAAAGTAAATAATACCCTATTGGAAATCATGACAAGTTTCTTAGCAACCGAGAAAAGAGCAAGTAACCATACAAAAATTTTGTTAAAAACACTCTTAATAAGACATGAAGAAACAGCGAACAATGAACTAAATCATGGTTTTTTCCCCTCAAAAATTATATCATAAGATTTCCATACCTTTCGTATCTCAATGCAAAAGGGAGCCGTTATAATCAAGCATAGTCACAAACATCATTAGCCTGGTGCATCACACACTTTCGCTTCATCAGGATTCATAAATTTGCCAACTCATACATAGTTATTTGGGCTAAAATTCAAAGCTTTTGCTTGGAAGTTCATGCTGGACATATCACACTTCTGTAGCCATAGCCCCTCCAGGAGAGCTTGTCTCTCCAGTAACGGAAACTCAACACGAAGGGAGAAAACTAGAACCTTTCCCCACTCCAACAACCCCAAACCTTCTTATAGAGCTAATGGGTGGCCAATTTGTATGACATCAATAGACCAATGTGATGAGGAACATGAAGACATTGGATGAGCATAAATTGAAGATTATGGATTTACTTTAGTATTATTTTCTTATATATGATTTATTGGGTTTCATTTATTAAATTAGGATTTTCCTATTGTAAATCCTATCGTAATGAGTATTTTTAGTAACTTCAATTAAGGTTTCCTAGGATGCCTATAAATAGGCTTCTATGTAATGAATTTGTTATACTAGAATTGATATTGAAGAATAAGATTGAGCTTGGAGAATTGCTATTGTTCAGTTTCATTATTTTCTTTTCTGTTTCTTTTGGTTTCAATTTTCTCTTCCATCCAGCAGCATCACAACATTAACAAAAATCAGGAAATACTCGGGGAATATATGAATTAATGATTACCGAATACACATCACAAGTTAGGATAATTCACTAGCTCCCATGCAAATTTGTAGAAAATTTTAAAAATTGCCAAAGATATGTTCCATTAGGCTACCTGCAAGAACTGGCACCAGTGATCAACCAATGGCCACTGCTTTTCTTCAAAAAGCAACTGCCACATCCCAATTGCAGTATCCAATGCCAAAGATTTCTGACCCTGCAATTGACAAAGAAAATCAACAACTCCAGAGTATTCCACATATCCCAAAGTTGCAAAATATGAAATATTTATTTGACATCACCAGAAAAAGTAATCATTTCCAATTGCTCTTCGGAGAACCGATTATGATTTTCATTTGCAAACAGAAAGAAGAAACTAAATGCAGTCATGTCCTTTGAGGATCTAATCTAATGAGTTTGGGGGGTGCATAGCCCACCAATCCATGCATTTGACGCTTTACATTACAGTCAAAACAGTCAATTATGTGATTAGACTAAGCCAAAATTGCAAAACAAAATTACTTCAACTCATGGATTTAATCCTCTAGTGGTGCCTCCCATGCTTCTCCCACATTTTAACTAAAGACCTCAACTGTTTTTTTAGAGGTTTCTACTTCTAGGTAGAAGTTAAAATGTGTTTTTCCACGAGGATTTTAAACATTTGACCAACTCTGAAGCAGCCAGTGGGGAACACTGACAATCTGGACCATACAAAAACAAAACCGAAACCACTTCCAATAGACTTGTAAGCAAAACAATGACTGGACAATATGACTGTGTTTGGGTTGTCATAAAATAAAAATGTTTTTCTAATTAAACCCATACCCTGATCAACTCTGAAGCTATCCAGTAATTTTTATTCTCAATCCTGTGCTTTATATATGGGGTCATGCTATGGGCTGTCATTAAGGTGAAGAAAATGCCATTATAGTTAGAATTTCAATGCACTTCTCATATATTTTCACAAATTTTTACATATTTTTATACACTTTTCAATACACTTTTTACACCTGTATGATATATCAAAGCTAATGACCACCCAATGAGCGGTCATTAGCATTTTCCTTATATATATATATAATTTTGTCTGCTCTCACTCTCGCTCTAGATACCATAGGTCATGTTTGAGAGCCAATGTCTATTAATTGCATTAGCACATATGCAGGCATATACTTCCGAGTCAAATTAATTGTCATTAATAAAAAACTATCCACCAAGACAACATGGACAGAAAAGGCGGGCATCATTACAAGGGTATATCATCAATAGAACATGGCATACCACCTCATGAAAAATTATACCAAGGTTGATCTATCTTCTAGGAACTTTGACAGTACGACAGAAAACCAATAATGAGAAATGTAAATCCAAGCCTTTATGCTTATTACACATACCTTCTCCTTTGCCCAGCCAAAAGCGAAGTTATAGATCTCACGGAACTTTTCTGGACAACCATATTGAAGATTAGTTTAGTAACAAAATAGGGGAAATTCTAAAGTTCATAAAATCAATCTCCTCATAGAGGGCTCAAGTTCATCATCAAGACAGCATTTGAACTGACTTTGTGATGAGCAACATGACATATGAAAAAATAGAAAAATCATGAGTTATAACTCATAACTACTAGCAAGTAGCAACTAATGAAGGAAAAACAATGTCACATTTACATACGCTCATCTTTCAGCTCAGAACGCATAAATTGTATCCTGTCACAGAACTTCTCCAGTGTATCTATCCTGATATTAAAAAATAAAAACTTTGTGAAGTTGACATCATAATGGTTCAAGGCTGGTTTTGTTGATTAAGAACAAGCAGCGAATACGGCTCAACAAAAAGTTACCCAAGAGCTTGTAAACCACCAATGAACTCCTGCTTGGAAAATTCACACATGGTGGCAGCCTTCATGTGCCAAGAAAGAACTAACTACAGCAAGGCAAAAGGTCCATGTTAGCTAGACATTTACATGTTATTAGTGCATTTACTAGATAACTAATAATTCTATCAAGAGAAACCAAAAGAATCTTGATATTTAATGTAAACACAGGTCCGATTTCATTAATATATATGTCGATATTGGAACAATGCTTGAAAGCTTTTGAAATATATTTAGTCAATAATTCAGCAATATAAACCAATAAAGTCATAACCTGCTTGAATATATTCATCAATAAGAGAATGAGAAACTGAAACAGAAGTTTAAGATCTAGTAAAGTGAAAGAGAAGGAAACTACAGTATGCACCTTGTAGCAATTGATGGACAAAAAAATAGGAAATAGTGAGAAAAGAGCTCTATAGATCATCAAAAGTCACTAAGCATGCACTTCTGATCTTGTAGACATTATCATAATGCTGGAGCTTAGAGACATCGTCATTCACTCTTCTCTTCTATGGCAAGCAATGAGAGGCAACAATAAGATCTAGCCAGTATCAACCACGACAAGGTTGAATTGCAACACTGAATGTTACACCTGCATCCTATTTCACTAGGAAAGACAGCTCCTCAATCAAAGTGATTTCATTCCATTCAGTTAAAGACAACGTGCAGCAAACACCCTTTCCATCCATCTCAAGTATACCTAATGAATGCCTTCTATATCTAGTTTAGAGTCTTATCACAGATGAAAGCAGCAGAATTTCCAAAGACCTAAAGTTCAATTCTAAATGGCAAAATTTTCCAGACAGCTTAAATATATATTCATTCTGCATTCCTTGTTTTGTAGCAGGTTGAGAGTATCTAAGCATACCATAACAATATCTTGGGGATCCACCTGCCAAGAAAACAAAGATTCACGTCATTGAACCATGTTAAGTAATAATTCAAGCGTCTAGAAAGTAAAAGAATTTTTTTTTATACAGATTAAAAAATAAAAAGGAAATTCCAAAACATTAAAAAATGAAATTGAAATTCCCATAAGATGGACTAGAACTGTGAGCATCATACATGATGATGCTGTTCCTCATAATTAAACAAAAATATCCAGTAATATGATGATTCTAATCAACCAATCACTTTGAAGGTAGTTAATTGGCAACATGTAGAGCTACCTGAAGGTCATTGCAAAGGAGTGTGATGCCATCAACCAAAATCATATCAACATATGGATCTGCAAAACATTAGGGCTCTCTTCAATTAGACTTTAATATTTAAGAAGCAGCTCTATGCCATGTGTTATAGTTCTTACAACCTGTTAAGGTGCTTTAGCTATTGAAAAAGTGAATTTTCACAGCTACATTTAAGTAGGGTGGATACATAACTAATCTACGAGAAAAATGAACATAATGTTCCCTAGTCAAAATGGCCACCAAAAATTCAAAGCCCAACCATAAACTAATGATATAGGACATTCAACTTCTTCATGTGTGCTGTCATCTTTGCTAATTATCAGTAGTGCAAGTTCGGGACAGTGGTAATGTTACCCAACTAACTACTAGATTAATGTTACCCAATTAACTACTAGATTGAATTGCACCCACCAGCATTGGACATATGTTGATGTGAAAGCAATCGCAGACCACTATGGAGTTCCAATTTGTGGCTGAAAATTTATGGAATTCATGTAAAACTATTATCTTACTTTGAACTTCAATTCTTACCAATATTGAAACAGTTAAGAGGCCAAAAATGGCTGCTTCTCATACCCAGTGAAACAATATGGACAGCCCTATTGTGCAAACCATATAATCAAGCCTATTAATAGCCATTTAATTTTTCACGTCACTGTCCTTATAATTATAGAATACAAGGAATTTCATCAGACAGGCAAGAATTTACAGATTTTAGGGGATGAATTCGTTTTACATTTACTTTGTTTCCCTCACTTCTTATCATAATTCAGTCATATCTGACAAAAACTAGATTCTCATCATTCCCACCCTTAGTTGCACGAAGCAGGAGCGGGGAATCGTAGTCATTCTAAGAATCGTTGATAGGGAGCGTTTGTATATATATTAAATAATATAATATATATAAATTTATTGTAAGATTATATAATTTTTTTCTCTAACAATAATGAAAATATATTTTATAAATTTTAAAATATATATATATATATATGACAAATCATATGTTAAAATATTATAATTATATACTTTTATTAAATTTTTTTCATTTATTCTAAAATATTTATATTATTTTTTATTTTATATAATATCTAATTAATTAAACACAACATAAAAATTTAAAAACAAATAACAAATAAACATTATTTTAAACATAAATAAATATTCATTTTTTGAGCTAGCCAACACAAGATAATAAATTAGTTAGATGGAATTTATATATATTTGTGCAATCACAACCAGCAAGGCAGATTTCATTAATTGTAAAAAGAGAAGGGTTAAATCAAAAGTCATTTTGTATAAATATGGCATTAAGACACAACTAGAATTAAATGAAAAGATGTTAATTTATAATATAAAATCTATACTTATATAAATGAAAAATAAGAAATTTACGAATAAAAATACTATTCTGTCTCAAACGAAGAGGGAGGGAGGGAGGGAGGGAGAGAAGACGAAGAAGAAGAAGACAAGGCCTAATGAGAAGAAGAAGACACCTGCGAAGCACAAAGTTTGAGAGATGAAGAATAAAAAGATGAAGATCAAAGCTTGAGAAGCAAATATATGGAAGAAGACAACGCGATCTCCACTTTCGTAGCCCTAATCGCAAGTCCATATTAGGTTTTCTTTTCCTTGCGATTCTCTCTCTCTCTCTCTCTCTCCCTCCCTCTCTCTCCCCTTCTTCTTTGTTGTTGCCGTGAAACACAAATCCTTAGCTTCAGCGTTCCCATCCAGTTAGATCCGCAATTCTATCTCAATGGGCACGGGATTCTAACATGATTCTTGCTATGAATCGTTGAATCGCAATTCTAGACGAGAATCGTCTCCCCTTCCCACAACTCCTGCTACTAAGTCCCCACCAAATCAACCTTCATCGTATATGTCCCCTAATACTCAACAAAATACACTTACATTCTCTAAAAAGGGTATCATGAGACATAAACAACATACTGAATCGTTCAGTAGGACAAGACCTTCAAAATCTCAAACAAAAAGGTGATGAAACGAGTTAATGACAAAACCCATGCACATAGGCTCAACAAGTAATCAACATTGAAGATAGGCCTCCAGTCATCATAAACTTAACCTACTCAAACAAAAGGTCATATAAGCCAAGGCTGCCTCAACATAGAGATTGACTTCAGTCTCCACATTACCATCATCTTGAAAAAAAAAAAACCACTACCCTAAATTCTCCATACGCATTTATGTTTCAACATTTCACTACATAGTCTATATTTTACCATGGTTAGCCATCTTTACGATATGGTATCCATATCGGGGAACAAAGGAGATTCAAGGAAACTAGTACGAAAAGCAAAATATTCTCACAAATTCAAAGAAAATGTGTGTGGAATCGAATAGGGATGTACGGAGAAGAAACCAATGGATTTGTCCCACTTGCCTTTATATCTGTTGTAAAGTTCCTCCACATGTCTAGTATCAGCATATGATTTAATCTGCGGTTGGCTGTAGAATACATCAAAAGCTCCTTCGATATGCCAATCACTGGCTTTCAAGGCCTGAAATGCAGCTTTTTCACTGCATTTCAAAATAGATAAATAAATATAAAAATATATATATAAAAAAAAAAAAACTAATCAGCTCACAGAATATTATTTTTAATGTTATGAGTTATGATAGTGGGTGTTTTAATTTAAATAAAAAAAAATAAAAAAGGTAAAATTCTATACGTCTATTAATAATAATAATTTTTTAACCATTGTTGCATTATAAGAACTATGAGTAATTATTCAGACATTTCGAACCAGCACATTTAGTAAAAAAATAAATATAAATTAAATATAAAGGAGTAAATACTTTTCTCCTTCAGGTATTAAACATCTCACTGCAGAAAAGGAAACTTTCCTTCATTGAAAGTGAAATTGACATTTTTAGCTATAGTAATTAAGCTTCTCACATGAGCAATAACTTCATATTTCTTCTTGATTGATCATTTACTCCTATAGAATATAGTTGCAAAAGGGGTTTTTTTTTTTTCTTTTTGCTTTTTTATGTTTAAACCGTCTACTGGACTATGTTTAACAAGAACTTAATGCAACTTCTTCATGTGCATACTCCTCTTATGCTTATGCACAAAAACATACAAGGTGTACCTAAGGCGCATGTCTCAGATTGTGACGTGCACGCCTTTGGGGAGTATAGGCTAAAAATCAAAGCCTCAATGTGTTTCACCTTATCCTAGAGATGAGGTAAAGCAAGTCTCAATAAAGTCTTTTAAAACTTTGACTTAGATTGAAGAAAAAATAATGATGGTTAACCAAATGAGGCATATATATAGAAAAGTCATAAAAATAATATAATTCTTATTTAATATAAGATATGCATGGGGAAATAATTCCTCTAAATGTCAGGATCTCAGGGAACATAATGCAAAAGAGAACAATGTAAATAAAAAAGCAAGTACAAGGGATGTGGCCATTTAGAAACCTATATGTTTTGGAAATGATAGATCGTGTTATTGGATAAAAAGGCAAAGATCTACACAGGTTGGTATGAGTTAATGTAAGGCAAATTAAAAGTCTAGAAGTAGAACCACTGCTTCTGTCATTCAATCAGTTCCTTAAATGCTTCTTTTGGCCCATGGTAAAATACAAACACTACCCACAACTTACATGTCATAAAATCCATAAAATAGCCCCAACCCACCAACTTCCAAAAACTAATAACCTACACAAAATAATTACCAAGTACAATTATTTTTAGAATTGGTTATCATCATATATCCACGGTCAATGGTTAAGCATTTAAACTAAAAAACAAATAATAAATAATCATGCAACTCATTAAAGCAAAGCTAAATCTACAATACTAAGGAGTAAAATACAAACTACGAAACCAGTTATGCGAATATGTGATTGCAGATTCTTGTATGAGGTTAATGTCACAGAACATCATCTGAGAAATGATTCTTCTGCCACATAAGTTCTGGGGGCTACAAGGAAATTCAGTTGACATCGAAAAATCAAGCACCATGAATGGCTCTGTAACAAGAAGATAAACTCTGCCATGCACTCTAAATTAATAAGAAAAATGAATCAAATATCTAAATCTCTTATTCTGAAAGTCCAGAAGTACAAAATGCAACTACTCTTATGAGACATGGCCAGCATCAAAAGGGCCCATAGCAATATAAGCTTACCTGGATCCAGTTATTGTCATGAACTGCTGAACTTTGTCCCGATGCCCTCTACCCAGCTTGTTCTGTCATTTGAAACCCCACACACACCCACCCAAATTTTAAAAAGAATAAAAATAAAAATAATTACAATTGAATGAAAATTCAAGATCAAAAGTTGAATGGTGTAAATTACTCTGAGCAAACCCGTGTGCAGCAAAAGACACGCATCACAGCATATAACTTTACTCAACAATTAATGCCCAAAACCAGATAAAAATGGTGTTTTTCTGACAAGAGACTAGTTGAGAATTGAAATAACGAAACCAATCGTGTATAAGGTGAAAAGCTCATTAATCTACGAACTTAAATTGGATGAAGAATTATGAAACAAACTCGATTAACAGTAAATACTTCAGACCAACTAGCAGTGAAGTGAGGGACAATAATTTGAGTTTCGCATAATAGATAAAATTAAATAAAAAAAACTGTATTAGATCAAGTATAAAGATTGGTAGCTGAAATGTGTAGATGATAGCTGACCATTTTGAATTTGATTGTGAAACCCAACAACTCTTCTTTATACGATAGATGATTTCGTAGGGTTTCTTTCGGGACTCTGATTTTTCTCCCTCTACACCTCTCTTCCCATCTACTTGCTAGCCCCACTGAAATGTTTGTAGTTATCTTACCTTTTTTTCTCTCGTTTATTTCGTTGCCAAAAACCTAATTTAGACTATTTTTATGAAACAAATCCGTCTTTAATTCTTGTTTTTAAAATCAAATATAAAATTTGAGTAAAAATAAAATTATTTAAAATTTGATGAAATATTTCGTTATTGCGATTCTCGTTAATTTAATAAAATTTTGATGAAGAAATTTGATCTCAGTTTTAGTTTTTTCCACCATTTGGAGGACTTTTCAATCATTTTTTTTACCTCTTAGTTTTTTTTTTTTTTTTTTTTTTTTAACAAGGCCTGAATGATTTTATTTGTGAATGAAAATTTTGTACATTGTTTTTTAATTAATATTAATCGAATTTTTAATTTTTTGACTTATTATAGTTAAATAAACCACCATCACCCCCAAACAACCTCTTGATTATACCAAAAATATATAAAACCTGTAAATAAAACATAATGTATGATTGATCAAAAGATTGAAGTCCATAATTTTGGATGAGTTTCTTCTTTTTTTATTTTATTTTATTTTAAGGAGGGCTCATTATTTTTTATTCACATTCACCTTCCACAATACCAACTATATTAATATAATGTGTTAAGTTAGTTAGTAAATAAATTCATAAACCTTTTTTCCTTGTATGACTTTTGGATCAAACTCTCAAATTAATAATAAATTTAAAAAAAAACTCGGGAGTTTTTTTTTTTTCTTGGAATTTCCCCTTCTTTTTTTTTCAACAACCTAATTTAGACAATTTTATTAAATAAATCCATATATAACTCTTTTTTTTTATAAAATTATTAAATTTTAAGGTAAAAATATAAATATTTGATATTTGATGGAGTGTTTAGTTAATTGTTGTTATTGTTAATTTAATAAAATTTCGATCAAGGAATTTGATTTCATTTTTTAGTTTTTCACTATTTTAGATATTCGGAGCTGACTTTTTAAAAAATTATTTATACTTTTGATTTATTTTAGTTTTTTTTATTTTATTTTTTATTTTGTGTAATCTAAACATATATATACATTTGGAAACTTTAGTGATTTTTTTTTTTTTCAGAGTTAAAAAGTTGTGTGACTTTTTTCTTTTTTTAATATATGACAACCACACTTTCCACTTTTTCATTCATTTAACCAATTAAGTCGGTGAAGCCACCCCAAACAACCCTTAATTATACCAAAAATATAAATATACATACCAAGGAACCACACAAATTTCAGTGCTTTGTGGCCTAGGTGTTGGCAATGCAATCTTAAAAAATATGAGCTCACTTGAATCTGAAATCTGTTTAGCTTAAACAACTAATTAAATTTTAATCAAATAAGATGGGTTTGGGTTGATGGACATGCATGCATATAGTATCATAAGACAAGAGATTATGTAGGTTCAATTTGAATTGATTTAGTAGATTCCGTCGTTACTAGAAAAAAATGTAGAGATAATAAGATTGGGACACGTGAATTTTTTTACCCAAAACAACTTGAAACAAGTTGCATTACAGTGTTACTATAGATAACCCTTATCATGTTTTTCATATTGTTATTTCCTTTATTGATATAAATTTTTTCTTGCCGCTATTGATTTATATACTCATTATGATCAATTTTTTAAATAAGTCAATTGAACGAATTGTAACACTTGTTCTATTTTTTAAAGACCCTCCCTTATATTACTAGATTGTTTGTTAAAATCAATACACCTCATAATTGGCACTTTTAACTAAATTGGTAAAATTTTTATATATCATATGGGGAGAGTTAGATTATTCCACTTGTGTCGTTCTTGGTACACTTGAGGTTTCAAGTCTACTTGTGACAACCGGGTAAAGACGGATTGTTTGGTTAACAAAGCATTGGACACTAATGTTCAAAACGGGTGAGATTATTAATACTCAATTTGTCAAAGAAGTATGACGATTTTAAATTTGATGAAATTTGAGCGTCACATGGATAAAAAAATTATACTATGCTTCTAAAAGAGTCGACTCGTGACATACAACCACATAAATAATACTACCATTAAAAAAAACGAACATGGCCATGTAAATGTTTGTGGGATGTATGGAATGGAATTGGGAGGATTTCAACGCAGTGGGATAAATAAAAAAAATTACAAAATTATATAAGGTTGTTAGTACTAAAATTTAGGAATCTTCCGTTAACGGAATGCTAGCAAGGCATAAGGATGACGTGGCAAGATTGGCTAAAATAGCTGACCTGACGTAAGGTTAGGTTGAAGAAGGAAGAACAAGAAAGATGATGGCAGAAAATCAAGGAAGAAATCAAAAATTTCAGGAAACAGTTCCTAAAATGTGGGGATAAACATAAAGAAATGTAGGGAATCAAGGAAACTTAGAACAAAGAGTCAAGTACAAAAGAAAGCTGGATGTAAAAGATCAATCATCTCAACCTCCATTTACAAAACGTGATATTTATTTAGGAGTAGTTTAACTTAGCATTTGTTATGAGTAAATTTGTGAAAGATTTTTCCAACTCCCATTTCTGTCAATTGTTGTATTTTTTATTTATTTGTTATTGTTTAAGTTTCTGTAACTGATAACAAGTGATAATTTAATTGAATAAATAAATATTATGTTCTGTTCCATTTCTTCTTTATTTAATTACCTCAAGAAAAATCATTAATCTGTTTAAGACATAATTCAACTATAAAGTCTGATATTTTATATTTATTTAAAATCTGTTTAAGTCTATTGATCAATCACTATCGATGGGGAGCCAAATTTTTACTAACAGAGGTGCAAATAATTTTATAATAAAATACAAGTGAAAAGTTGTGATCCATATTTGTGTAAAAATTTTTTTTTCTGTGACTGAGATGTAATTTCTCAAATGGAATGCAGGTTGAATCGCCGTCTCTCTCTCTATCACTACGTACGTCCACTGCCCCTTCTGGAAAGTGCGTAGGTAGCTTCCGGGATTGTCTCCTTCCAAAGATTATGACAATATTCTTCGAAAAAATTACATTTAAAGTGGTCTAAGTAGAAAAATATATATATATTTTTTACAATGGCAGTGTTTGGGAAGGAATTTTTTTGATTTTTTTTTAATTTTTTTTACTAAAAGACAAATTAGTTATAAAATTAAAAAAATAAATTTAAACAAAATATCACATTAAATTTCATAATCATTTCATTTTTTTTTCTCACAAACATCACATCTATTTATAAAAAAAACTCAACTATCTTCTCAAATACAAAAAAAATTTCTTCAATAATATCTTACAATTAAAAAAACTTACAAAAAAACCCTCTTCCCAAGCACCCGCAATGATGTATAAGAATAAGGGATTTATGTATCAGTGGTGTTTTACAAAAATATATCATAAAAAATGATAAATTTTTTTGATATTAATAATTAAAATCATAATTATTTTTATCATTGTGTAATAATTTTTTAAAATTCCTCTTGAATAGTGATTTCTCTTATAAAAATTATAATTATGGTAATATTTTATTATGGGATGAATTACACCAACGGTCTCTATAGTTTGGGATTTGTGCCACTTTGGTTCCTGACTTTTCAATTGTGACACATTTGACCCTGAATTTTGAATCTTGTTCCAAATAAAGACAATTGAAGATATTATTGGATTTTTCAAGGGCAAACTCGTCAATTTGATAAAATATAAATTAATTTGACAAAAATAAATGTCAAAAAATTATTTTTGAATTTTTTTAAATTATTTATACCTACTAAAGATAAAATTATATAAAATTGATAAATCTTTTAGACATTTTTTTTACCAAATTAATTTTTATTATGTATTTGGATGATGATCATGAAAAATTAATTTTTAAAAATTAATCATGTAATTTTTATCAATTTTATATAATTTTATTTTTGGTGGATAGAAATAATTTTTAAAAATTTTAAAATATTTTTTTGACATTTATTTTTGTCAAATTAGTTTATATTTTATCAAATTGACGATTTTGCCATTGAAATTAAGTAATGGTATGATCAATTGTCCTTATTTGAAACAAGATTCGAAATTCAAGGTCAAATGTATCACAATTGAAAAGTTATCGACTAAGGTGACACAAGTCCCAAACTATAGGAAGTATTAGTTTAATTTGCCATTTTTTATGACACACAACACAAGAAATACTTGCATCAAGCATGAGAATATTTTTTATAATGATATTATTTTTATAGTAGAAAAATAAGTGTAATTTATTATGTATTTTTTTTTTTAAAGAGCGGGTGGTAAAAACATTCTTATATTATCTAAATTTTATTTTAAAATTGTTGGCACTATAAAATATTATTATTATTATTATTTTAAAGACACGTGACATTCTCTTATTCATTTGGAAGTTAAAAGAAGTTATAGAGATGATAAAGAATATGAAGGACAAAGTGGATGAGTGGAAGGACACATGGTAAGACAAGAATGAAGATAGAGGAAATGGATAGTTACTAAGTAGTTATTATTGTATTTTTTCCTCTATAAATAGTCATTAATGGCTACATTGTAAAGGATCCATAATTCAAATCAAAGACAATTGATTTCAATATTTATTGTTATTTTCCTTATTTTAGGAGTAGTTTAACATAGATTTATATTTCTAAACATTTATTTTCAGCATTTCCATTTCGAAGCATTTTATGCACTTCCTTTTCGAAACATAAGAGTAGAGGTAAGTAATTATTACTTTGATTGTTCACTCAATCGTCTTTCTCCGTCCCTCTTTCTTCTTTTACTTTTTCTTTTCTCTACACTTGACAATTTTGAAGTCCTCTTCATTGAGGTAAAAGAACCGTCAACACAATCGCTTGATAATTTGCTTGAATTTAATTTGTAAGGATTTTTCAATCCTTGCTGGCACGCTCACATTTATGATATTTTCCTTCGTAGGAAAAACAAGCCAACAATTTTGGCACGCGCAGTGGGACGTCAAGTGTAATAAATGGAAAATGAATTGGATTTGTCCATTTCAAATAGCCTAGATGAAATTTATTGGCGTAAATAAGAAATTTTAAATCTTCAAGAAGAGATCCATTTTCTT